GCTTGACAGCTGTTATTCTTGGGACTGGGACTGTTACAGAATAAATAACAGTCTCATCTCTGTAGAATTTCATTGAATGGAAACAGCTAAAGACAGCTAATTTGATTATGAATTCTCCATTCCTCACAAGCCAGAATGTCCTCTAGTATCTCTCAGATGAGACTGTCACTGTAGGTGAGCACAGGGTTTATTGGAGCCATTCGCACTGGGACACATAACATGTCGTGTAAAAAATATTGAATGAAACCTTGGCCCCTTTGATGTCAATGGCAAAACTCACTGATTTCAATGAGGTCAGGATTTTACCCATGGAGTCAGACCAGGTAACTTTCCAGGTGAAATTCCATAATGAAATCTAAGGGGAGGGAGAGGGACATATGTCATAATAGAGAAAATCTCATTATCCTATGGCAAATCCAAGTACCTTTGGAGAGGAACAGCGTTGCCCAGGGCTGTTTTTGCTAGTGCTCTGGTCATGGTATAGCCTGTAGTGGTCACTTCTGTAGCAGGTATTTAAAGTCATTTTGAAAAGAGAACCAAGAAAATTACAATGCCAGAGAATTACCTGGAATTCTCAGCAGACACAGGACTTGTGCCATAGAAATGTCAGTCTCTCTGCATGAAGGCATCGAGCGGCAGATAAATGCTGTGATAATTACCAGTGTCAGACTGTATTCAGCAGCCAGCCTAGAGAGCTTATTTCTCCTTTGCTCTGAATCAGAGGGAGGTGAGCACTTCACACACTGTACACAGAGCAGCACGTGTACGGAGAGCAAGAGAAAGAGAGAGTGCGTGCCCAGAAACAGCAGCCTAACATCTGGCAGTGACCAGCCTGACAACACCAAAAAGAAAGGAGAAGAGCTGTGACCTTCTGTTTCAATCATTGCATCTCTATGTCCTAACTCTCAAACGTGGATAGAATTTCAGCGCACTCATAATTCATTTAGTTTCTGGAGTGCCTTCTGGTTCTTCTCAAACAATTACACCGCTGTTTAGTCTAATATTTCTCTCTGACTACATATTATGGGATTTCTCCTGGGGCTCTGCTGTTTATAACTGCCAGTGAGTTCATAAGCAGACGGTTATAAGATTTTCTAATGATTTTACTGTGGCCCATCCACTTAGGGTGGCATCCCAACTCATGGAATTTGCAAATCCGAAGGTTTCCAAAATGGTTCATTTCTCTCCATCAGTTCTGCACCTGGTCTAGGTGACTTTGACTCTTTAACCAGGGAATATGTATATATATAATATCCTTTTTCTATTCAAATTTATTTTAAATTCTAAAAGAATAAGAAGAATATTCTATATAAGTGATAGGTTGAAAACCACACTATATGAAATTTGCAAAACCAGGATACTAACTGTCTCATGGAAGTACAAGGCTATTTCCTTCTGTTCATTTGGCTGATCATTTAAATGGAATGGTCCTCTTTCTGAGGACCTTACCATGTGGACTGTTGAGCACCCTCAAATCTCACCGAAGCCAATGGGAAGCTGATGGATATCTTTACCTTGCAAGAGAGGCCCTCAGTCTGGTAGTTCACTCGGGGTCAGGATGCACATTCCATAATGTTTAAGGGTGGTGTTTTCAAAAGAAGCAAGCACTGGCCTAGCTCTGTTTCCACTGAAGTCAATGAGAGTTTTACCAGAACAAAGTTAGGCCCATGCTGAGTATTTCTGTCTCTCTCACCCTAAAGCTTCAGATAGTTATTTGAAGTACTTCATTCCAGAATGCATACACAAATGGACATTCCCAAAGCATATGTATTTGAATGAGCTAGGCACTGTACAAAAATGAAGTAGTGTTCCTGCTTCATAGGCCCCCTCAGACTGAATTCACCAGAGATCCAGCGGGGCTTGCCTTTTATACTTGTTTTTACATAACTGCCGCAATGGAGGCCTGATCCTAGGGCCTCTAGATATCACCATAATACACATAACAATAGCATTGTAAATAAACACACAGAGAGACACTCTGCAATATGCAATAACTGCACTGCAGTATCCACTGCCAAATCAGCGGTACCCATCACTTTCACATGGTTTCATGCTTGCGCTTCAGCCTTGTGATTGGAAAAAGTCTGGGCTTCCCAGGGCCGGCTGGGTGGGTGGGGGGGAGCAAGTGGGGCAATTTGCCCCAGGCCCCGCAGGGGCCCCACGAGCCCTGGCCTGGCGGCGGTCTGGGTCTTTGGCGGCTCTGCAGGGACCCCGCGAGCCCTGGCCAAGTAGTGGTCCGGGTCTTCAGCGGCATTTCGGCAGTGGGGGGCCCTTCAGTGCTGCCGAAGATGCAGAGTGACTGAAGGGCCCCCCGCCGCCGAAATGCCGCCGAAGACCCGGACTGCCGCCGGGTGAGTACAAGCCCCGCGGCTCCCCCGCTTTGCCCCAGGCCCCCTGAATTCTCTGGGTGGCCCTGGGGCTCCCCCCCCATCTTTAATGATGAGCTTCAAATCGGTGCCCCACAAGGTGGTACTACTGAGCTCCCATTTCTGTTTGTGCTGCTCCAAACCCCAGTACTTTGTGATACACTATTTGTGGTATTTTCCATCATATGAGTAAAGGCGCAAGTTGTAAGATTGGGATGAGGAGCTGCTACTTTCCAATTGTCCCCTTTTGACTCCCCTTTGCTCTGTTAACTCTTCTATTAACCCTCACTTAACTCACATGATTTATAAACTGCTTTCCTCTGTTCTTCCTTGAACCAAACTAGCTCTGTTTTTTTCATAGGCGCAAGTCCTTAGGAATAAGTGAGTCCTCAGCACCTGGTTGCAGATTCCCTTTAACCTGGTGCATGGTGTGTACTTTTAGCAGCCCTTGTTTTATTGGGCAGGCTACATATAGTAAGCTTCAGGTTTGTTTACAAAAACCTCTTTCCATATAAAACGGTGATCATTGCAAGATCTGCATCACCAGAACATTAGAATCAAGCTGTACATCTTGACAGTAACTGATCCAACAGTGACTCAAATACAGCGCCTCTAATGATGTTAATGAGAAACAAAACTCTGCTTGTTGCTTGAAAAATCTCAGCACCTTCCCTGTTGGAAGGAGGCAACCCTTAGAAGACAGAATTTCCTGGGAAGTTGGACAGGCTCAGAAAGAAAGTGGAAAGCAGCATTCACATAAGTGTGAAGTAGACACAAGAGCCTGGGGTCTACATTAAAGGGGTAAGGCCTGGCTCTTCAAAGAGAGGCAAGAAACCCACAGTGAGGAGAGATCCCTTTTCACTGTTGATTGTCTCAGAACTTTTTTCGGGAGGGAGCCGAATGGCCTTGGTGTTCTCATGTCTGTATGACCCACTGGGTTTAATTAAAGGCTGGAGGATTTAACTCGCTAACTTGACAAATGTTTATCAAGAATTTCAATTTTCGCAGCTCAGTGCCTAACAACTGCTTGATTGATAATCAGCTAAATATGGAAGTCTGTGAACCACCCTGAGGTAATGAACGTCTCAGGTGGCACCCTCAGATTTAATGCTTCATTTTCACAGGCCAGCTATCTTGAATTCCAGGTCATGTTCCAAGACAGGAAATATGTCTAGGCTATCAAAATATCCTCTTCCATTTCATTCAGATACACTATTACTTCACTTGCCACTCTGAACTGTTGCACAGGGTTGCTGTGTACTGTTAAACAGCTGCTGTGTCCCATCCCAAAGAAAAGCTGCAATTTAGTGGTGAATTCAGTGTATTAAATATCTTGCAAAGTGTGTAGGTGGCTTTGGAATCTTTGGAAAAGAGTACATAAATATTAGTTGTCCTCACAATTAGTTGCCATTAAATATTAGTTGTCATTAAAATCAGAAAAGTTCCTCTCTCCTTCTCAGAACCTAGAATGCAAAACTTAACCCTTACTTATTAGTACATCTGTTCCCCCCCCACCCCAAAAAGAATATCAAAACATTTTCTGATGAAACCACAATGAAACTTTTTATAGAACTTTTTCATTGAGGTAAAAAAAAAATCTACGGTAGTTTTTCAATGAAAAACTGGAAGTCAAAAATCAAAACATACTTTTTGCAGAAAAAATTTACAGTGAAAAAAGTTTTGGTTTTCAGGGAGGAGTTTGGTTTTTGTTTTTGTAGAAAAAAATAATTTCTTTGCAGGAAATTTTGAAAAAGCAAAAATGTTTCAAAATATCCTACAAAAATAATTGTTTTTCTTTTGTTTGTTTGTTTTTGTTAAACCAGCTGTACTTATTAGCCATTACCACAAGTGAAGTTTAAAAGTGACCAAGGATGCCTTGGAATAACAAGCATTATAAACATTATGTGCTGCTGTTTATTTTTTCTACAATCTAGTAATAATATGCCAAAATATATCATACATTAATATAATGTTCAACTGGTTATACAGCTGCTAATAATAGAAATAGCAGTACCGAATGCACTTTAAACATATGTCAAGGAGACAGCATTGTGAATATAAAGCCGGATAGTAATTTGGTGTATCTATGCCTGGGGTTGTAAGATTCGTTATAATGAATCAAACCAGTTGCTAATCAAGTCTGGAATCCAGCCTCCAGATCAATACCTGATATTTCAAAAGAAGACACACTCCTACTAAAAGTGTACCAGGTGCTGCACTAAGAAGGAATAGCCCTTTGTGACTGCTGGGAGTCTCTGCTGTAATACATGTTTTAAATATCTCTTTTTTAAGAAACAGAGGACATGGTTCTTGCAAGATACTGAGCCAGAACCTCAGTTCCTGAAGTCAACAGAATTTACACCAGCGGTGATGAGCTCACTCACTCTATCAATATAAATAATACCTTTCTTCAACTCTTGTTACACTGATGAAGCTTCAGTGTGCTCTCTCCATTAGCTGCTACAATAAGATGTTTACAGCTGTGCTATACATTATACAACATATTCATACATGCCTCTGAGCTGAGAAAGAACCCTTGGATATGTTACTTTTTCTTAAGACCTAATGGTGTGCATCATGACAGAAGAAACGTCTGGCAAAAACATGTACCTGTACATGTCTTTCTGCTCATACCTGTCTAGGGAGATACAGCACAGGTGAAGGATTGATGCTGTGGTGAGCAGGACATCTAGAGATGTTCGGACCAGGCAGAACATCTCTCCATAAATCCAGTTATCCTGAACCAGCTCAATAGCTCCAAAGGGCATCACCAGCACCGACACCAGCAGGTCCGCAAAGGCAAGTGAGACAATGAAATAATTGGTCTTGATTTTCCTACAAGACATATATTAAAAAAACTCAGTGGGACTTTTCAAAGCAGTACATCCCATGTGCGGATAGACCCAACTGTTCACTAAAGGGTCCTCTAACCTACCTCTAAGCTATTTTAAATGGTTGTCCCTAATTACTTTCCTGGTTTGGGGGCCGATTGTTCACAAGGACCCCTGCATGACTGCATGGGTGTTTCTACCTGTGCACACAAAAGATGTAACTGGACATGCACATGCCTGTTTGTGTGACCAAACTGGCATGTTATATGCACCACTTTCCATTGTGTGTGTGCAGAATGCAGCACTGTGCACGTATAAATAGACTCTCAAGTTGAGTGCATTTTCAGTGGTTCTTAATAAAAGTTAAGAAAGCCCCAGCATTTTCTATTGTTTTCCTTGTGCTCTGTGGCCTCTATGTTTGATTTCCCTCTTTATCCCACTAGTCTTACCATAAACATTAATAAAAGTATCAAGCCTGAGCATGTGTCTCTCAAACTACCCACTTCTCAAGCAGTCACAAAGAGTCAAGGCTCTTCTTCTGCCTTCTGAAGCTACCAGGGTGTGTTAGGGGCTGCCTACAGTTCAGTAAGAGGTGTGACTGCAGGACATATAGCCAGACCTAACCTAGCTTTGACCTAGCTAGTGTAAGTACTAATAGCAGTAAAGCCGCAGCAGCACTGTATAAGCCCACCCAGAAGCCTTGGTATGTACTTGAGCAGTTAACCCGTGCTGTTACAGCTTCACTGCTATTGTTATTTGTGCTAGCTAGATCAAACCTAGCTCTGATATGTCTGCAAGTGTTGCAGTCTCACCTCTGATTGCAATATAGTTGTACTCTTAAACACACCCTCTTCTCCTTCCCATCCTGTTATTCCCTAAGGAAAGTGGGCTCTAGCAACCTGCAAAGAGTTTCAATTTAAGAAGAAAAGTCATTTTGTTTCTGGGGAAGCCCTGTTCCATCTGAAGATGGCAGCCAAAGTAGGATACAGAGGCAGTATGGTAGCAGCATAAAAGGCCTGGGCTTCCAGGAGATGAGTGAGCATTACCCAATAGGAGCTTCTGATGGGATAATGTTGAAGGTCTGGGCTTTCAGGAAATGGGTTAGTGCTGGAATATGTCTTCTTAGGCATGCAGGACAGGTGGAAGGAGAGCAAATGCCCAAGGAGAAGTTGGGAAAGGACTGAGAAAGAGACGTTTGTGAAACATACAGACTTTCCTCAGTACTTCCAGTGCTGCACACAGCCTGATTAAAGCTAACATGCCAGTATCAGGATGGGAGCTCTCAGAAGCTAACAGTCAGATGATGAATTGCTAATTAGCAGGTCCCCCAGCTATTACTCTAGCAGGGGAAACACTCAGCTTACCATATCCCTGTCCAGTGACTGTGTGAGTCTCACTAGACTAGATAACCTGCAGGCTTTATTATGGAAGCAAAGTCCACACGTATGACTTGTTTGTCCTCTTGATAAGTTGTCCACTATTAGGTAACCTGTTCTACAGGGAGAATTAATAGGGTTTAATAAGACTTGGTCTCTAATTTTATTACCCGCATGTTAATCATTATTCATTTGAATTTTTCTTTCAGTTTTTAGTGAAGGCGGTTGAAAAAGGTAACAGCTGCATGATTAGACTCATTGGCAGAGCTGTGTGGAAGCTCAGGGCTGGAGTAGCAGGCAGTACTGCAGGTCAGGGTAAAGCTGCATTAGCAGCTATACTGGCACTAGAAAAGGTTCAGAAAAGGGCAACTAAAATGATTAAGGGTTTGGACCAGGTCCCATATGAGGA